CTCCGTCGAATCGTGACTCGCAGCGCCCGTCGGCTCCTCTTTCGCATCTGTTTGGGAGCGGCACGGGCAATGGCTCGTCGAAGTTTCGAATCTTGCCTCGTCGATATCCATCTAAGGGCGGACCTCGACCGCTAAGTGTACTCGACGGGGCCGCGCCACGCCGCTGCCCCCGCCAGCGGGTCAGCATTCAAGAAACAGTTTGGCGAAATAGCGCGAGCGCCAGATGCGTTGGGCTAGTCTGACACATCGTCGCCAAGCCGCCCTGCCTCTGGTTTCGATGACGAGAAGCTTCGCGCGCGAAAAAGTCCTCGGGGCGCCAGATCAGCATCGCGTCTCTCTAGCATGTTTTGGCGGCTTCGCGCATCACCTCGTTCTGGAAGGCAAGACGGCAAGACGAAGAAGGAGGCTGAAGCGCCATGGTGGCACCCGTCCTATGCCGTCTGCAAAAAAACTGATGACGCGCAAGGTGACCGCAGATCTCGGGCACCACTGGCCTCTCTCCGTGCAGGCTCTGCCGGCGCGAGCGCGGTCTGAAACAAGGCATGATCTCAGGTCTGGTATGTCCTCCTACAGGCGGATTTCCGAAGAAGAACGAAAAGTAGTCAGCAGCGCACGGAACTACACAACAAAGAATCGAAACGTCGTCCGCGAACTATTTGTTCTACCATTTTGGGATACTCCTCCTGTGGAGGGACGGGCCCGACTTGAGCACGATCTGAGATCCCCCTCTCGTCGAGAGCTTCGGGGGCCTCGGCAGCCCCGGCCGAGACGCCGGGCCCGGGGCGGCCGAGGCGAGCTGCCGAGCAATGCAGCTGCTCAGCACGCGGCGCGGGGCGCAGCGGCGGGCGGGGTCGCGGCCCTCGGACTCGGCCGTGGGATGGCGGGAGCGGCCAAGCGGGGGGGTGTCCAAGAGGAGGGGGTGCAAACCATAGCCGGCGGCATGTGCGCGGCCCAGCGGGGGGGCCAGGGACGCAGTGAACTAAAAGGAGGCGCCACGACATCTGGGGAAATATCATGGCCCGGGCCATGATATCCCCCCCCCCACTAGTCATCACCGCCCTCTTTTCCGCCCCCGAGGATGGTGGGCTCTCGTTCAAGCCGGGCATTGCTGCGCGCGCCACTCCTGCATGAGGTCGGGCATGTCCTTCTGCAGGCGGGTCTGGATGGAAACATTGAACATATTAAAAAATGCAAAACATAGCCGAAACTAATCAAAACATCGTCCCCGGACCATTTCCCAACCGTCCTGTGGTGTTGGGTCCTCGTTTTGAAGAGACAGCGCACCGCGTTCTCCTCATCCTCCTCCTTCTCCTCCTCCCCCTCCTCCCTCCTCCTCCCCCTCCTCCTCCTCCCCCTCCTCCCTCCTCCTCCCTCCTCCCCCCCCTCCCTGCGTTTCACCCACCTAGTACAGCGCTTCGTGGCCCCATAGGGAGCCCCACCGAAGGTCCCAATGCTACCATCCGCATGCGTCCCGCACACCCAGGGCAACGTTTCGTGGCCCCATAGGGAACCCCACCGAAGGTCCCAATGCTATCGTCCGCATGCGTCCGCCACACCCAATACAGCGTTTCGTGACCCTCTTCCCCTCCTCCCTGGGTCCCTGCGTTTCACCCAACCCTGTACAGCGCTTCGTGGCCCCACAGGGGGCCCCACCGAGAGTTCCAGTGCTGCCGTCCGCATGCGCCCCGCACACCCAATACGGCATTACGTGGCCCTTCCCCCCCACCCGGTGCGGCGCTTCGTGGCCCCACAGGGAGCTCCACCGAAGAAGATGTATTCACAATTGCGGTACTCCAGATTTCGTAATACAGGGAGGGGGGTCTCATTTCGGGGGGAGTCTCTTCCCCAGGCTATCTTGGAGGGCCTGGGGGGGGTCTGGGGACGATGTCTTGGAGGGCTCTCCCACGGGGGGGGTCTAAAACTTCTCGCCTGGGAGGGTTGAGACCCCCTCCCTTTTATTACGAAAAATCTGGAGCACCCACGACTGCGGATGGTCGGGTCCATCGCCAGGGTCTTCCCTGTGTTTGCATATTTCCCCCCCTGTGGATGGGGCACGGCCGGCGTGGGGCTCCTCCCGTGGAGGGGGCGGCGGCAGAGACAGAGCCATGCCGGGCATGTCCTCCCACAGGGGGGATTTTTCGGGGATGGACAGACCCCCCTTTAGCAAAACGTGGTTTAGTGAAAACGACCTGAGGCCCAAACCTGGCGGGCGCAAGCCTGGGAAATGACGGCCACGGCGCCCTCTCGAGGACCGAAAACGGACAATTCACTAATCGACGTGTCACTGTTGGGGGTTCTGTCCACCCCCGAATTTTGGACGAAAAATAAAACATAAGCCACGCATGTTCAGAAACATCCAACGTAGTCCAAAATCGTACCCATGCTATGTTTGGGCAATTTCTGACGATTCGCCCTGTTAAGGGACAGGCCCGACTTAAATATAGAACCCCCGCGACGATGATGATCCTGGAAGATGGGGCCTTGTCGGTATAATTCAGGCCGGTACTGATATTATCGGCATTGGTCTTCTCGTCTTCGGAGCTGGACCTGTAGTCGCGAGCGATGCAGTGCACGATGCAAACGTCGTCTCCTTCGAACTCCAGGTGAGCAGGAACGGCTTTCCCAGGGGCCGCCCCCCACCAAAAACTGCGGATGGAAGATCATGGCCCCTCCGGCCGGGGGGCTTGAAATAGTAGAAATGCGTGACCCTTCCGATTGGACTGGCGCAGCAGACCCGGGAATTCCAGGAGACTGCCGCGACCGTCCTGCACAGCAGCGAGGGAACCATGTGGGCGGAGGAGCTGTCGTAGCGAAATTTCTGCTCGCGGAGGGGAAGATCGTGGTGAGACGGCGAGCGGCGTCCCACGTCGCCAGTTCGAGGGGCCATTCTGCAAGCTTCGGGCCGCGCCGCGCGAAGACATGGGCTGGAGACACCAGACAGGTGTCGGCGCAGGCCACCCCTCCTGTAGAGAGCGGTGCAGGGCTGCTCCTTGTTGACATGGAGGGCCTCGACTTCCTTACTGCGCCACTGCACGATGGGTGGAAGATCTCCCGGCTGCGGCGTGATCTTGACAGGTGGTTTCCGTTGACATTATATCTCTGTTTCGGCCGTGTCCGAGGGTAAGCCGAAGGGCCCGCTAGCCTCCCGCAGAGATTAACGACGCTGATTGCGACCGAACTCCCGCCTGATCTGCGCGGGGCGCTTTGTCTCTGCAGTCGAATATCCCATGCCCGATGCCGTGGATGCCGGGGGCACGTAGGCGGTGCCATTGCCCACTTGCCATCCGAAGTGCGCTGGGCGCTTGGGCGGCCTTCCTGGCGGCGTAGGTGGCGTTCCCCTCGATGCGAAGGGTGTATAATTCTTCCCAGCAGGATCCCCATCGAATTGAGCGTCTCCTGCTCCCATCTACGCAATATGATGCAATTCTGATAAGCGCTCTCGACGCTCTGTTTGGTCAGGATGCCCTTTACTACGGGCGTTGGTAGTACACTGGTCCACCATTCCGTCGAAGGCGGGGTCGAAGACGGTGGCGTGTGGCTCTTCCCGTTTGTTGCAATGCAGCAAATCAGATAGCTAACGTACACGGGACTCGAGCACAGTGGCCCTGCCGTCAGTGCGGTCCTGCCTGTTGGCAATGCTGGCGAAACGAACATCGATCCTCTGGTTGGGACCGTCGAGACTGCCTGCTGCCGTCCTTCCGAAGTCCTCCGCGGATCGCTGGAGCTTAGTGACGACAGCCATGAGCTTATTACAGATGACAGTGATACAAAAACGAAAGTGTTCAACTTCCGTCAGCAGGTCGTCGGTCTTCGACTTTTTGTTTTCGTACCATCTTTCGCCAACTCGATTTGGGGAACCTCCGCCGCCGTGCCGAGTCAGCCCTTGTCGTTCGTAGATGCCGGAGGTGGAGGCGTCGTGCAGCGCCTGTGACGTAGACTGGACCATGGGGCATCGCGGCACTGAGCTGTGCTGGTTGGCAGGATGCGCAGACAGAAACGGAGCGGCAGCTGTGCCGCGGAGAAGGCGCCGATGGTCTGACCGCTGTTCTGTTGATCGGGAATGTTCGTCGGTGGACAAACCTCCCTATAGTAAACCTCCCCTTAGTGAAAACGGCCTGGGACCGAAACCGACGGACCTGGACTCACAACAATGCGAACCGAAAACGGCCGATTCCTTAATCGACGTGTCAGGGTAGGAGGTCTATCCACCCCCGAAATGTGGGCCCTGACCGAGTACATCCTGGCCAGGGTGGCTCCGGGCAGCGGCTTACGCCAGAGTGGCTAAGGACCCCCTCCTCCTTCTGCTCCTCGTCTCCCTCGGGGGTCGTATGCCTCCTCCTCCTCCTCCTCCTTCTCCTCCTCCAGTGGCGGCCAGCGAAATCGATAAAGAAATGAAGCATCGACTGGTATTCCTCAGTGAGCACCTCAGAACTGTGGCTATCCGCCATCCCCCACTTTCGGCTGCGCGGCGGACGCCCGCATCGGCCAGAACCCGCTCCCCTAGGGGCTGAGGTGCAGGGTCCGACCCGCAGCCTAAGGTTGAGCACGGAGAGACCGTCACGGCATTCCTGCAGGCCTACCACGACATGTTCTTAGAACCCCAAAATGTTCGAATAACAAAAACGATGTTCTTAGAGCATACGCCCGATGTGTTAACACAAGACAGTCCCAGCCAGAAATGTTCTAAGAACATTTCGCGCAGACCACGACAGGCTCTTAGAACATTCTTTGGCAGGCCTAAAGGCACGCCAGGACGCTTCGCCACTGCTTGGTATAGGGCAGCTTTTGATACATGGGATGTTTCAAACTATAGGATTTGTGATGCATGATCAATTTATGAATAAATGTGTGCATGAACTCATCGTTGTTTCTAATACTAAATCCCTGCATGTTTAATACATGATCCGCACGCGGAGCATGTATTAAAAACGGCACTGTATGGGCACATCCAAAATTATCCTCCTCCTCCTGCCAGAAGTGGCGAATGGGGGGGCCGGCGCCTTGAAGTTGCCCGCGAGGGTCTCCATGAGGGCGCTGGTGGCGGCCACGAGGCCGCAGCGGCCTGGCCACGGAGGGCCGGGAGGCGTCTCCATCTGCCCCACCCTTCCCTACCCGATCCTGTTGCCTACCCCCCTCTACCCCCCCCCCCCCCACACTCAGACCTCTCCTCCTCCTCCTCCTCCTTCTCCTCCTCCTCCTCCTCCTGCTTCTCCTCCTCCTCCTCCTCCTCCTTTCTTCCCATCTTCTCCTTAACCTCCTCCTCCTCCTTCTCCACCTTTTTCCCCTCCGCCGCCCATCGTCATTGTTGTCATCATCGCTGTCAGCATCATCACCATCATCGTCGTCATCATCACCACCACCATCATCATCACCACCACCACCATCTTCATCATCATCAGCATCATCCTCATCATCATCAAACGCATCATCTCATCACAACCACCACCCTCCTCCTCCCCCCCCTCCTCCTCCTCCTCATCATCATCATCATCAGCATCACCGTCGTCGTCATCATCATCCTCGTCATCATCACCATCATCATCGCCAACATACGCATCATCATAACCATCAACATTATCATCATCGCCCTTCACCATCGCTCATCATCGCCATAATCAACCAACATAACGCTCATCATCACCATCATCAGGCTCATCATCATCATCATCACCATCACCAACATCAGCATCACCATCATCATCGTCATCACCACCATCGTCTCGTCATCATCATCAGCAACCGCAACATCATCATAGACATCAACAACATCATGAGCATCATCGTCGCCATCATCAACAACACCAGCCGCATCACCATCACCATCACCACCATCAGCTCCCCCATCAGCAATCCTCTGCTCCTCCCTTCGCATCGCGCACGACTGCGCTGCATCCCCGCATGACTCGCTGCAAGAGTGGACGTGTGCATGCATTCATGTGTTGCGCTCCCGTAGCCTCAGGTCGTGCCTGTCCCCCTACAGGGGGATTTTCGACGAATAATGAAAAAAACAAATAATCAACAAATAATCCAAAAATAGTCTGGGGACTAGTTTTTTTAAGATGTTTTGACCTTTTTGAAATATTTGTTGGGTATTTTTTATTTTTCGTCGAAAATCCCCCTGTAGGGGGACACGCCCGACTTAACCGTGGCCGCCGAGACTCGAATCTAGAAGTCACTCTTTGACGTGGACTAGAGCCGGGCATCAAACAGTTGCGCGCATCCACAGCTTGAGAGCTCGTTGGTTGCATCGGTCTCCCCTGCGGCCAGCGCCTGGAGAAGCTCGAGCAGGGACCGACCGTCCCGGCATTCGTGTAGGCCCACCTAAACTGTTTGACGTCGGCGCAGTCATAGCCGATGCCATGGCTGCAATACCGCCTGCCGTTGTCGTGCACGAAAGTGGGTCTCCCAAAAACCCGATGCAGATGCAGATCGTGTGAGCGAGGGGGGGGGCGCGATATGCCCCCCATATTTGCTGCTGTGCTGCATGTGGTCGAGTTGCACAGGCCGTGCAACGGCGCGCAGTGGTGTTCGGTCTGAATGTGGTTGCTGGATGTGGCCGTGCATAGGCGATGTACTGGCGTGACATGATCTGACAAACCGTCGTCGCTGGCCTGGCCTGGACGCCGGCACGCTTTCTACGGCCGCCCGCCTGGTGTAGGCGCGCGCGTGTCTCGTCGACGCAGCGTCGCGCGCCCGCGCACTGCGCTTCGCCATCCGGCGAGGCGCAGCGTCGACAGCCGCGCGCGCACCTTTGCTTCGGCGCACGCGTGGCCACGCCGTGCCCGCGCAGCCATGCAGCGTAGGTGTGCGGCCTTGTTGATGGATATGACGTTGCGGCGTGCCCCGGCCGCGTAACTGCTTACAGGGCACTTTTTCATACATGGTACATGATTACTGTATAAATAAATTCATGCATGAACTCATCGTTGTCTTTAATACTAAATCCCTGCATTTCTCATACATGATCCGCAGGCGGAACATGTATTAAAAACGGCACTGTAGTGGCGTCGCGGCGCGCAAGGGGGTGCGCCACAAGCGCGTTGTACGGCCATGAAACAGCCATATCGTCGTGCTCGCGGCGTAGTGGCAGCGCGGCGCGCAGGGGAACGCGCCGCGAACGCGCTGCACAGCCACAGAACCCCTTCCGGGCCACGCTGCTCGGAGGGGTGCCGACGAGACCCTGCACTCTGCCCTTTGGGTGTAGTGGACCGTGGAGTTCCTTGTCGGCCAGTGTTGTCGCCGACCTGTGCAGTTGCAGCGCCGCCGTCGCGCGAGCCCGGATGGCGGCCGGCGGGCGCGGGGGCTCCTGTTCGAGCGCTGGTAGAGCACGTCGTGGTTGTGGTCGTCGTGCCGTTGGTGGTCGGCGGCGTGCAGAAAAAGGGTCGGCCTCTTCCTTCTCTTTCCGTCGTGGATGCCGACCGGACGCACGAGGTCGAAGGGGTCGTGCCCTCCGCAATGACCGCCCGCACGTGCAGTCCCAGACGCCGCTCAGGGGAGCCTGAGAGTACCGGAGAGTACGAGTACCCTTGGAAGCAGTCACTGCCAGAATGAGGTCGGTGGCGTTGGTGACCTGTCATGCGGGTGCTCTCGCGGCGATTACTGCTGAACAGAACGATCTGAATGATCCGTTGACAGATGAAGAAGCGAACGAGTCAAACGTGTCGACGCAGTAGCATTTATTCACATGATCAAAATCTGCTGAAAGCTGTGAAAGCCTTGTGTGGGACCACTCCAGGAATATAAATGTTCAACCAGACAGCCTGTGCCAGATATTTGAGTAGATACCTGTGGTGGCTCAGGGACGTGAGGAAGATGGCGTAAACACCGCAGCAGGGGCGCTACACACAAATAGACAAGCAGACAAACAAATTGGGCCTCTCGGGGGTCTCAATGGGGCCGTCTTGGCGAGTACTGGGCTCCTCTGGCCCATCTTGGGACACTCTTGGACCGTCTTGGGACCATCATTGGCTGCATCGGACTTGTTCTGCCGTGTCCTGCGCTGTCTTCGAAACCATCTTAAAACGTCCTGGTGGCCATCTTGGACCGTGTTGGGCCGCTGACACGCCAGCCGTGTAGCCAGCGTTGACTGCGAGGGGTTGACCTTTATCAGTCGACGTCGCAACACTCCTGCATTTGACCTAGTTGCGCGAACAGAGTGTGTGAATGCCTTTTTCGGAACGTGCTTGTGGTCAATATCACGCCTGTTAGATGCCTCTTTGGGTCTCTTTTGGAGCCTCCTGGGGGCCTCTCGAAGGCGTCTGGGGGCTTCTCTGGGGGGCCACATGGCTGACAACCATAATTTTCCTCAACGGCCGAGTCAGAGTTTGCAGAGCTTTGGGCACGCCTTCGGGCTAGCTTGGAGCGGCCCCGGGCCGTCCTGGGACCGTCGTGGGCCGACCTGGAGGCCACCTGGAACCACGTTGGCTGTCTTGGAGGCCATCTTGGCGGTCTAGGCGGCCGTCTAGGACTGTATTGGACCGTCCTGGAGGCCATACTCGACCGTCCTGGAAGCCATCCTGAACCGTATTGCGTCCAAGCCACGCTGAACGATGACACAGGATAGCCCTGGATCTCGATACGCCTCCAACGTGCCTCCAAAAGGTGCCAAGACCGCCGCAAGACGGCCCGAGGTGGCCACGGAGACTGGATGCCAAATTCACTGTGCAAAAAACCCGTGGGTCGGGCCCGAAAGAGCCCCAAACCATCTCTGAAAGCCCCGAAGAACACCAGAGCGCTCCACGAAGCCTCCAAAAAGGAATAGGTGGGGGCTCCAGGTGGACGGTGCGAAATTGGGACCCCCACTTTGTTTGGTCGATGGCCTGCGGGAGCCCAAGATGGGTAAAACAGGCCCCAGGAGATTCCCAAAGGGAGAGATCAACGAGAGCCACAGCGGCTTCCAACAGGAGCGCCAGGAGATCCCCCAGGCGGCCCAAAGAGTCGCAGAGGAGGCCTCCACGAGGCTCTCGGAAGCATTTGAATCCACCACGGCTGGCTTCTTTTTGGCGGCGAGCGAGGGGGGGAAGTGAGAAGGAGAAGGCCTCCTCAGAAGGCGGCGGGACGTCTCAGAAGCCCTCGCGCATGCTGAGCAGTTTTCTGCGTCTTCGGGGAAGGCTTAGAAGACTTCTCAGCAGCCCTCGCGGGTCTTCCGAGCCTTCTGAGAAGGCCCGCCCCTTCTCGCGCCCCCCCACGCTCGCCGTCAGTCTTTGTTTCACCAAGTGCTCCTCTGCGTCCCTTCATTCGACAACTCGTCTGGGCAATGCTTCTGGATGGGCTGGTGGGGGTAAGGGAAGCGTGAATCAGGGTCACCCTGGTTGAATGGTTTCACCGCTCGGGAACAAACCTGAAACTGATACCCAGCCCAAATCAAGGTCGGAAACCTCCTGCTTAATGCTCCGCTTACTGACGCCCACAGCGTCTGGCCCGCGGCTCTGGTTCAGTTCAGGGACAGGGTGGTCAATGGCCACACGCGGAAGCAACTCTTTCTAGGCGTTGATCCAGACGAGCAAGCAAGTACAAGCTCCCCCCCCGATTGGCTGCACAACACCATGCGGTGCAGGCCTAGGTTCGCCATCAGCGCGAGCATGCTCGAGATGGAGACCAAGCCCAACCTCTCGGCGAGGTAATAGAAAATAAAAAGGTGGGAGGCGGAGAACACGACTTGCCTACGTACCCTGACTAGCTACGGGTTGAACACTGCTAGCACACCCCCGATGCACAAATCGCCATCGAAACACACACAATCACGATCAAAGAGAGCTGATGGTGACGCTTACGCCTTTCAATCCCACGTTGGGGGGCCGCGCGACGCGAATCATCGGATCGACCCCCACCTGCACCACACCCCGCACCCAATGAACAGACCAATATCCGAGCGACGGGGCGACATGTGAGCTCCTTCTGGGAGCACCACACTGGCTTGTCTGATGTGTTCTCTTGCTCCCGTACTCTCCGACTCGTATAAAACATAGCTCTGTGTCCGTATACATAGCTGTACATACATGCGTATAACTATATAGGCACACGTAGTCACACCCCTTCACAAATAGTTACACGGAAGTCTGTAAAACATGGTATCCATGATATATATATATATATATATATATATGTATATATATATAGCTTGACATTGCGATGCGTTGATATGCATCACGTTCCATTGTTTGACATTGCGTGGCGCGGAAGCAAGGCAACACGACCAAGGAACCAATGACCCAACACCAAAAAGAAAAAAGAGCCAACACCACGGAACCAAGGAAGCGAGACCAGGAAACCAAGGAACCAAGACTAAAGAACCCCAGAAACCAAGACCAAGGACACAAGAAATAGTGAGACTAATAATCTAGGCCAAGTACATGGAAGCAGCGGCCAAGGAACCAAAGTACCAAGCCCAGGGAACCGAGAAGCCAACGGCCAAGAAGAAAGGAACCAAGGCCAAGGAACCAAGACCAAGGAATCGAGGAATCAATGCCTAGAAACCAAGACGAAGGGAACAAACACAAAGAAGGCAAGGATCCAAGCCCAAGAACATGAAAAGATGAAGCCAAAGAACCAAGGAACCCATAATGAGGAACCGAGGAAACAAAACCAAGACAAGATGAACCATGGCCAAAGAACCAAGACCAAGGAGCCAATCTACCAAGATCAAGGAACCGAGAGCCCCAGGACCAAGGAACCGATGAACCAGGATCAAGGAACCAAGGAACCAAGCCCAAGGAACAAAGGAACCAAGAGTAAGGAACCGAGGGAAATGGGACAACGCCTTGTCAGGAAACGGGACAACGCCTTGTCAGGAAACAAAAACTACGAACCCAAGGCAACCTCATTGTAAGGAGCCCTGGGGAACCTGGCGATGACCGCGCCTCGCCTCGCACCCACCGGTTCTTCAAAACACACGAGCTACCCTAAGCAAGCTTAATTCTGGAAGTACATGCATATACGTTTCTACCTATCCAGATAGAGTGACACGGTGTATCCGCACACCTGCAAACTGTATCCCGCAAGTCTCGGTTCATCAAACATGTATATGCGTCAGCCACCAGATGCACTGTATTTATCCCACTCCAGCTACCTCACGAGCGAAATCGCATGACACACATATTGTTTCATATACGTGTGCATACACGGAACTGTGAGTTTCGATGGTCGTTTTACCAACTGTCAGTACACACGTCGCACATCTCGGTACATGCATCGTCATCACAGTGAGGGGGGCGAACGGTCTCACACGGTGCCCGGGTGCGTGGCTGCAGTGGGTTCTCGCGGTGTTAATTATTGTTGTTGTTTTGTTTTGTTTTCTTGTCGTCGTCCCACCCGCGACCCCACCCGCGACCCACCCGCGACCCACCCGCGACCCAACCCGCGACCCTCCCCGCGACCCACCCCGCGATCCACCCCGCGACCCACCCGCGACCCACCTGCGATTCACCCCGCGACCTACTCGTAGACACCCCGCGACCGACCCCGCGCTGGCCCCTATCACCTTTATCCGCAACTGCGGGGTAATGTTTGGATATTGTATACGCTAGAGATACAACTACACGGAAGAACTACACATCACAACCACACAATAATCCTCACCGCAACACCGGGACAAAATGGGCCAAACTCTGGCCAAACCGGGAGACGATACGACGACCGGCAGGACAGCCCGCACCCCCACCGGGGCAGCAGAGACCAAACCCCCAGAAAAGCAAAAGATGGCACGACGACGCGGCACCCAGAGCGAACATCCCAAAACCAGAGGGGGCCCGTTTCCCTCAGGGCCCCTTTGCCCCACGCCGCCTCGGAAGCATCACGCCCAGACCATGCGTCCGCCCGCCCAACTCGAATCTCGAACCTAGATCGGCGCATTGCGGTCAAGGCTAGATCGGGCATGTCCCCCCACAGGCGGATTCTGGGCGAGCCCAAAAGTGTTCAAGAATAGTCTAAGAGAGTGGTCGAAAACTCGCCCCCAGACTATTTGCTTTTGCTATCTTTGAACATTCCTCCTGTAGAGGGACACGCCCGACTTCAGACCAGGACCAGGACGGCAGCGGAACGAGACGGATCGGGGACCCCCGAGATCCGCTCCTCCTCCTCCTCCTCCTCCTCCTCCTCCTCCTGCTCCTCGCTCCTCGTCCTCCTCGCCCTCCTCGTCCTCCTCGTCCCCCCCCCCCCTCCTCCTCCTCCTCCTCCGAAGTCGAGCCTGGAGCCTAGATCGGCGCACTGCCGCCCAGGCCGACCAGCCCGCCACGCGCGCCGGCCTGCGCTGCCGCCGCAGCGCAGACGAAGGGCGTGGCCGGGGGCCGCCCGCCGGGGCGCGCGCGCGCCTCGCGCTGCAGAGGCGGCCGCGGGCGCCGCCAAGAGAACCACCGGACCTCGCCATCGCTCGGACGTCCATTCCTGGTGAATGTGTCGATTTCGTGCGTTTTTTCGCCAAATGATCGCGGATGGTCCTCGATGGCCGTCGCCGTGGCCGTGGGCCGCCCGCCGGGGCGCGCGCGCAGTTTCCTGTCCCAGCT